TGGTCCCAGTCAATGTCTCTAAGATCTTTGAGAAATTCCTGCTTTGAGTAGTGTTTGTATGACCGGTATTCAATGGTTCTCCCAGGTGCCTTGGGAACACCTGATTTCATCACGCAGAAGATTAAACAGTGGTCGCTCAGAGGTGATGAGATGACGCCTTTGTCAATAACGCGATGAGAAGTGTTGGTAAACAATAGGTCAATAAGTGTTGATGACTTCTCCGTTATTCTTGCTGGTGTATTAATTTGTTGGTCTAAATGGTGAGAATTTGTCACCTTGAGAAGTTTGCGTTTCTTGGCCTTATCATTATTTACCTTAGTGTCGATAAAATTAACGTTAAAGTCCCCGAGCAAAACAAACTCACTCTTATCGGTTTTCACAAACCCAATAAACAAAATGTTTATGAGATTAATTTATTCAAAAAATTCAACTTTTCTCAGTCTCAAAATAATTGTTGACACACTGATTGATGTCAGGAATGAAACATCAAAACCGCTTAATCAGTTAAAATAAGCACATAACCTTGCTTTCCGATGGAAATGTTCCAGTCCATTTCAGGGCACAGCAGCGACCAAAGTATAGCTCATTTCAACTCACGGCCAACTGTATCGCAGCTAAAAGGTGTCTCCGACACTATTTCAAACTGATTTGAGAATCACCAACCACAGAGGACACAAATTACCACCATCACTAACGCTCCTTTCGATTCAAAACTCGAATCAAATGGCCTCCGGGTTGACCGCAACCGCAAGTTTTCCGAGCGCATTTTTTCATCTCCTGCAATATTCAAGGCAACGTCCAAGATTTTCGGCTCACAGGGCTGCTATGATGACAAAAATTAAACTGACTTGACTTATCCAGTATTTCCTTTAAGGTTTGTGGATTTCGCAGCTCAATTCTGCTTTCACCGTAAGTTTTCATTCCACGAGAAGCGACTTTCGAGTCAAGTTTGACAGTGGCGTGATTTTCCTAGACCAATCACAATTCTTTGCTACGCACAGCAACCAA